TTTAGGGTTTAGGGTTGGGCAAGTATTCCCCCTCTAGGCACTTAGGACGCTTTGGGACAGGAGCCCGAAAGCCCCAGACCGGGGCGCTCCTGTGGAAGAGCCAGGTTCTCCGGCAGTGGTAGTGACTGGATGTGTAGGAATCCAAGTGCCTGGCTCAGGGGTTTAGGGTTTAGGTTTGGGGTTTGGGGCTTAGGTCTGGGTAATTAGCGTGAGGAAACTTATTCTCTTCCTTTGTTTAGTATAATTGACTGCCTGGCAGAAATCTTGTAGAGTTTTGCAGGCCTTTGCATGGGGAAGGGTTGCAAATTAAGCATGGCCTCGTCCTGCCCTTGTGGAACTGTCAAGCATCATCACTTCCTCTTTCTGGGGTGGCATCAGTCTTGCCAAGATCTGTGCTCATTGCTGCCGTGCTCAGGGTTAGGGGCATTGAGGCTTGAGGTTGCCATCACATACCGTTTACACGTATGAACCGCCTATGGCCGGCTACTGGATCCTTCCTGTTCTGGTGCTTTGCTTCTGTCTGTGTTTGTTCCATATGCGCATTCCTCTTTTCCTATAGGAATCAGCATCTTCGCTGTGTTTGCCTATTGATCTTATATATATATATATGTGCACAGATGCAAGAAGATGTGTCTGTTTCTGTTTGGGTACAATAGCCACGAGTACGACTTTCCGCTAAAGCTTTGGCCTAGGGTCCACGGCCCTCAACCACCAAGCGCGACAGACAACAGAACACTCTAAACCCTAGACCCTAAGGCCAATAAGCCCTAAGCCCAAAGCCCTGAACCCTAAGCCCACGCCCTAGGCCCTGAACCCTAAACCTATGGCCCAATGCCCTAAACTTTAAGCCGTCAGCCCTAAGCCGTGAACCTTAAACTCAAAGCCCTACGCCCTAAACCCTAAACCCTAAACCCTAAACCCTAGACCCTAAACCCTAAACCCTAAACCCTAGACCCTAAACCCTAAACCCTAAACCCTGAACCCGGCGGCCCTACGCCCTAAGCCCTGAACCCAGCGGCCCAGCCTTGTGCATCGAGGCAGAGGTCTTTGGCGTGTAGCCGGTCATTTCCTTCATCTCCGCTTCGGTCGCGTCGAACAAGTGACCTGCAGATCTCAGAGCTTGGGGTTTAGGGTTTGGGGCTTGGGGTTTAAGGTTTAGGGTTTAAGGTTTTTGGGTTTAGGGTTTAGGGTTTGGGGTTTAGGGTTTTGGATTCAGGGTTTACAGTTTAGGGCTTAGGGCACAGGGTTTGGGGCTTAGGGTTTAGGGTTGCCCTGTGCCCAGAAACCCCAATCCAACGCCATAACGCAGAGACTTCAAGGGTTCAGGCCACCCGCAAACCCCCTAAACCCTAAACCCTAAACCCTAAAGCAAACCCTGAGCCATGAAAGCCTACCTTTAGCCTAAACAACCTACCGCTTGAAGGACTTCTGGGAGCTTCCGAAAACAAGGGGCACCTATTTTGGGGGTCCTTATAATAAGGATCCTACTATTTAGGGTACTATATTAGAGTCCCCTATCTTCGGAAACCCCCATATAAAGGAAATCATGACTAAGAACCCCAAAAATCTAGGTTCTTTCGGGCCCAGGTAAACCCTCAACCCTGAAGCTCCGCGAAGATCCGATGAGAGGGCAACTCGTCTGGGCCGCCCACTGGCTGCAGCGACCCAGCGACGTTCCGGATCACGATTCTGCTTCGTGGCCATGGTGTGCCTGCTGGGTTTCACATTGAATTTACGAGGGGACTTGGTAAGTCGTCTTTTGCATACTCTAACCCTAAAAAACCGATGAGCCTTGAATAGCAGGCATGCATGCCAAGACGACTTGGGACGGTTTGGGCTTCAAAATCGGACTTGTTTGCACCTCGATAGTTCAAGCTCATAAGTGCCCCTTTTTCGGAAGCCTTGTAACCCCAACAGACCCTGAAACCGCAAACCCCAAACCCCTAAACCCCTGAACCGCAAAACGTAAACCTCAACCCCTGACGCCCCAAACTTTCACAGAATCTCAACTGAACGAATTCAGCCCGTCAGGGCCGGACAGTACTAAAGATTAAAATGTTTAGGGCCTAGGGTTTAGTTTTCAAGCTCACATTCCACCTGCGGAAAAATGAGTAGGGTCGCCATGTTCGGCATCCTCTTGTCAAAATCGTACGTACTGTCTGGGGTCGAAACTGGAACCCCTCATTTTCTGTATCAGTCCTTGGTTCCATATTAGCACTCATCTTGAACCCTAAACCCTAAACCCTAAACCCCAAACCCCAAACCCCAAGCCCGAAACCCGAAACCCTAAACCCTAAACCCTAAACCCTAAGCCAGAGGAGAGCCATGTCGGTACGTAGTTTCCTCTTCGGGGGTCTCGGACTTGGGGCTGGGGGCCTAGTAAGTTTAGGGTTTAGAGTATAGGGTTTAGGGTTTAGGGTTTAGGGTTTAGGGTTTTAGAGTTTAGGGTTCAGGGTTTAGGGCTTAGGGTTTAGAGTTTAGGGTTCAGGGTTTAGGGCTTCGGGTTGGTGGGTTCAGGGTTTAGGGTTTCGGGCTAGTGGGTTAGTGGACGGGGTATGGTATATAATGGAGACAAGAAGGGTTCTTCGGCTTCCTCAGGGTTGTAGGACTTTGGGGGTTTACTGCGGCTTCCGGGCTTTTTCTACGTCTTCCCTGAGCCCTGATCCCCAAAAGCCGAAGCCCCAAGCCCTAACCCTCAACCGTAAACCCCAAGCCCGAAACCCTGAACCCCAAGCCCTAAGCCCCAAGCGCAAGCCCCAAACCCTAAACCCGAAGCTTTGAGGCCTAAACCCTCAACCCTAAGCCCTAACATCTAAGGCTCTTTGGGGCTTCAAGACTCTCAGCACACCTGCTCCAGAAGGCTTCCTCCCTGATCTTCCACATCTCTGGGCCCTCCTTCAAGCGCCTCCACTGGAGGTTTTTCTAGGGGTTATAGGGGTTTAGGGGTTTAGGGCTGGAGGGGTTTAGGGGTTTAGGGTTTAGGGGTTTAAGGGTTTAGGGTTTAGGGTTGAAGCAGAGGCAGGCGGTCCATGGAAGATCTGGTCTCTAGGATTTCTTAGAGGGTTTGATGGAGTTTTGTAAGGGTTCTGTAACGGTTCTATGAGACATCGAGGGCTCTTTTCTGTAAGGTTGGTATCGGCTCAAATTGTAAGGGTTCGCGGCGAGGTTTGAGCCAAACCCACAAACCCTTGATCAGGGTTTTGGGCTAGAGTCTAGGGCCACATCTTAGGCCTTGCAACCTGGTACCTTTCAAGTCCAAGCCCGATCCACCCTAAAACCTAAACGCTGAACTCTGCACCCTAAACTGCTGAACTCTAAACCGGAAAATACTGAAATCTAAGCCCGAAGCCACCGAACTCTAAACCCTAATGCAATGAAATCTAAGTCCGAAGCCACTGAACTCTACTCCCCAAACTTTGAACTCGAGACATGTGGGATCTTCTGGAGCCACTTACCCAACTGGAAGACTTAGGGTTTAGGGTTTAGGGTTTAGAGGTTTAGGGTTTAGGGTTTAGGGTTTAGGTTTAGGGTTTAGGGTTTAGGGTTTAGGGGTTTAGGGTTTAGGGTTAGGGAAAGCAATGCCTTCC